ACATATTATTAATTTATTCCCACTCTTTTTTCAACATAAAGGTGATCATCTGCTTCTTCCCGTGGAATCTCTATTGCTTGCAACACTTGTTTGATATGCAGAACACACACACACACACACACACACACACACACACATACACACATACATAGTTCTGGGTCAAGGGCAAGGAAAGGTTATAGGGATTAAGGCTATATGCCTAGGTCCCATGAAGATCTCAAGGCCTAGTAAACTTGTTTACATTATAAGCAAGCTTAACAAGCTGAAATAGTGTTAAATTAACTCAAAACATAAGATTAACTTTTTGGTTGCAAGTATATGCAAAAGTCACTTGTCTAGAGCATGTCCACATCGTAGCAGTCATTCTTACAATTTTATAAGTCTGGGTCTGTTGGCACAGGCCTGTAATTCTAGGTAATCAGGAGGCTAAGGTAGATCTTTCTGGGCTACAGAATAAATTTAAGGTCAACCTAGGCAACTCAGTGAGACCTTGTCATTTAAGTATGGCTCAGCAGTAGAATACCTGCCTAGCATGAACAAGGCCCTAGGTTCATTCATTCTCAGTACTAAGAGAAAAAATACAGTCAGTGTACACACTGAAATTTTGATAATCTATGGTCTATGATTAGACACAAGAGTGAAGCTTTCTCCAAATTATTTTTATCTTCTAATGTATATATCAATGATTGTTATTACATTTTTACTATTTTTTAAAATTTCACAAGAGCAGAGTGTCCATTTGCATAGTAGAAATATATGCTACAAGAATTATTTTTTTAAGGAAACAAAAACCCTTAAATCCTCATCAATTTTTTTATTTATTGCTGCTTTCAAGCTAGTCCTTTCATGACTGAAAACTTCGACCTCAGGCTATCTGCTGGGATATGAAGCGTTTCCAAAATTGCGTTGTTTTGTATTCTTCGTATGTCTGTGTGACAGGCTGAGTGTATGGATCAGGAGAGTGCTGAAGGGTCTCCTTCCTGTTGTGATGACTGCAAATTGCTTCCCTTGCGAAGCACATGACTGTCCTTGGGCCACCAGAACACTTTAGACAGACCTGGACTTCCAGGAGTTGTGAGGGTACCTAAAGGAGAAAGAATTGCTTTTTTTCCCTCCAAAGTTGAAGGAAAAACTTTGAAAGATTGCACCAACAATAAGCCAAAAGACAGGACTAAACACAGCTAAGGCAGAAACTAGCATTCCCGCGTGTGTGCAGACCTTCGGGACCTGAGCAGTGATGAAATAATTCAATAGAAGATGCTGCAAACGGATTAGAGATGACAGCAAGTTTAACACTCTGTTTTCAAATCTCGTGTCAGGTTCCCTTAGCTGCAGGTGGAGCAAGGAAGCTTAGAAGAGAACCAGCCTAGGCCCATTTGTAAGAGGCATCCTGTGAACTACAGAAAGCCCAACTGATTTTATGTCTTTTGTGTCTCATTAAGTATTTTAATTAAAAAGTATTTTAATTAATTTAAAAGTATTTTAATTAATTTAAAAAGGGAAGGGAGGAAACAGGAAAATTAAGAAAGTGAGTGAACGTCAGTGGTTTTGTTTTTTGTCTTGCTACTTCTTTGATCCCCAGTCCCCACCAGCCCCTGCTGTGTGGTGTTTCATTTCTCTTAGGGTACTGAGCCACTGAGCACTGGTGTGCTGCAGCCACCTTTCCATGCTGCACCTATGGGGACAACTGAGTGTTCCTCACTTGGCTTATCTTTATTTGGACCAAATTATTTTCTTTTGTATCTTATTCAAGAATTTTAGCCAGAGGAAAAAAATGCCAGAAAACTTTCATATTCACCTGACAAATTAGAAATTGTAGTATTTCCTCAGAAATTGCCCTAGGGTAAAACGAATCTTATACTTGATGAAAAAACAAAGCAAAGAAAGAATGTAGCAGAGGCAATGGGAAGAGTTTTTTGTTATGGTTATTTTTTAAAATTAGGCATAAGAGAAGACTTGTTCACTAATTTAATGAAGTTCCTGCTGTTTGCAGGGCACAATAGCTTTCTCATCATTAAGACCAAAATACTCTTCTTTGCTGTGGCTCGTGGTCTCAGATAGCTAAGTCCATAGTCTTGGTTCCATGTTTCTAGTTCATGATGAAGCAGGATGCCACAGCTGTGGCAGCATATGGAGGAGACCTTTCAGCTCTGGGCAGACAGGCAGCAAACAGACACAGAAGACATGGGGCAGGTGTAACCTTCAGAGGCACACCTCCAGTCACCTACTTCTTTCAGTTGGGATATACCTCCTACAATGTCTACCACCTCCTAAACAGTGCTACCAACTGGGTACCACATGTTCAATACAGGAATCTGTAAGGGGACAGTTAATGTCTAAAATAACACGAATTTCTGTCATCGCAAGCTTTTACTTCATGGACTGCTAACACAGGAATCTTTTATGCTTATCACTCTTCCAACCCTACTGTTTAAAAAAAAATTCCTCCTCCAATTAAAATACCCAATTTCTTTCCCATTCATCCCTGTTTTACCTTCTGGTGGCTCTCATACTCTAGAACAAATGATAGAATCGTGGAGGCAGCTGTGAGAGGGACTTTCACTCTTTCACTTTCATTTTTCACATCCGCGCTCTGTGTATGCGCTCTGTGTATGCCAGCCCCCCACCCCCACCCCTGGCCCAGGTCATTAATCCTGATGATACTGGGCAAAATGGAAGGAAGAACTATATCCCACAAACTTGTTATTGTCTATCTCACTCTCTTAATCCCCCCATCATCTCTTTCCTGTGACTTTCATTATTTCTAGCAACTTGTATTTGTTACATTTCTGTTTCTGTGATAACACACCATGGCCAAAGAAACTTACAGAAGAGTTTATTTGACTTATGGTTTGGGGATTGTGGAGGAGTCCATCATGGCAACAGATGTGACAGTAGCTAGAGCAGAGAGCTGAGCACCTAAGTCTTCAAACAGACAGGAGAAGCAGATAGAGCCAGCTTGGAAGTGTAATGGTTATAAACTCTCAAAGCTTCTGTCCAGTTGCATACTTCCTCCAGCATGGCAACATCTCCTAAAGGTTCCATGACCTTCCCCAAACAGGGACACCAAATGGGGACCAAATGTTCAAATACTTGGAGCATACGGCAGACAGTCTTTTAAACCACTACTCAACTCTACTCAATTTTATAGTAGTATTTGTTATCTATTGAAGAGTTCCTCTTCTCAATTTTTCTTCGTATTAGAAACCATAGAATTTCCTTTCTTCCCACAAGAGCTTCCAACATAGTATCTGAAACACTATACCTCTAAATTCCAGTTGTTTTAACAGTCTAAATGACCGTTTTCTTAGTCATAATTTACCCCTTTACCCCCAGCCTCCACTCTTCAGACAGATGAGACGCCTTCCATCTGGATAGAGGGCTTCCTATGGAAGTTAAAAGGGAGATGCTCAGATGGTGGTGCAGTGTCCCCAGCAGGGTCTTCCCAGCATTCTATATTAACTTCATGTTTACATACGATACACCTTTAAATGTAGTGTGGCTTCACAGAGAAACGAGTCCTGTTTTCTAAGCACAGAGATTGTAAGAAATCATTTGGAACATAGTTAATGACAGACTGCTGACGATGAGGTAAAACAACACAGTGTGATGATTGACATGATTGTCTTCTGTGTTATGTATTTGCTGCTTCTTTAGTGAGAAAACTGAATATGAAATGAAATAGAAAAGCATCTTGAAATTTTGCTCTTTGAGACATAAAAACTTAACTTTTCTTCTTTTGGAACAATGCATTCATCTCTACTCTTAATGGTATTATCTGTTTCACATGCTAAGTTGTTATTTTTAATGAAGAAAACATGAAGCAATTATAATCACAAATTTAAATAAAACATTTATTTTAATCATCATTTAAACGCAAATAAGTATGCAATTGCAAGACACAATTAAGTATAATAGGAGCAGTGTATCCTGAAATACAAATGACATACACACCCTTGAGTAAAATTTGCATACTTTAAGATAGATTTTTTTTTAACCATTTACAATTGAAATAATTTCTGTTTATAATTAAATAGGCTCTTTAAATATCAACATAAGTAAAAGCTGCATAATTAAAGAGCCCTTCAGGTTATACATTAATGTAATCTACTTGCAGAAATTTGTTATTGGAATAAAAAATTGTCTTAAATTAATCTAACATACATAGCATATGCACCTGTTCACAACATATTGCTGAAAATTATTATAAGATAATGAACCATAAAACAACTAAAGAAAGGATGGATAATTAATAACAATTATTAAATTAAGATATGTATATAATAAGAGTAACATATTGAAACAGATTTTTATCTAAGCAAGCATAGATTGTAAGTCATACTCTCATAACAATGGAAATAAGAAATATTACATTCACGTGTTTCTTGCTAAGGTCATCTGCAAATGCTATGTGGTAATGTGAAGTCATGTCACATAACACAGATGACGTTTTATCACTGTTAATGCCCAACTGTTCCCTTTGGGTAACAGAGCAAACGTTCACTACTCACCCTCAGTATCTGCCTCCCCTTTTCCCTCCACCTCTGTGCCACCTCTGCTTCTATCTGCTCTATAGCAAGGATTTCACAGCACACATGCAGTCATTCATCTGCTTTAGGTTCTGACCTTAGACTGTAGAGGATGGAAGGAGAGACAATCTCTATTGCATCTTTAGTACTGTCTCAGCGATGGATCCATGTGATCAAGGTGAACAAGCATAGGCCCTGCTTTAATGTAACCTACAACATAGTAGATCTTGAGGTACATGAACTGGCAATTACAGTTCCGTGTAATAAAAGCCCCACTTATGGAAGAACTGTATGATAAAGACAAAGAGAGGCATGGGATGGATACTGGGGATGGAGGGTCACATTAGACTTACCAGGGTTCAACTAGCAAAGTGAAATATAATCTTATCAATTGACAAAAATACTCAAAATATAAGGCAAAGTATCATTTTATGTCTATCTACTCATGTATTTACTAACTGGTTTTTCTAGTTTCAACCTGTGCCACAGTTGAGTTCCGCTGTGCAGATGGAACTTGCATTCCAAGATCAGCACGTTGCAACCAGAACGTCGACTGCGCAGATGCTTCTGATGAAAAGAACTGCAGTAAGACTTTTTCTACCTTTTGTTTGTTTATGCCGGCACACCTTTTGGCATTGAGTTGAACACTGTCCAGTATTTTCCTGAACTTCATCCAGAACTGATGTACAACTAACTCCCGTTGTATAGGATAATTGCATATTTAGTTCTTTAACGAAGTTGTTTTCCTGCCTCTATGATCTACATAGGAGGATCATAATCTTTGCAAATGAGGTTCTTTTCTCTCTCCTTTTTTTTTTTTTGGTTTATATCCTTCTAGACTATACAGACTGCACCCATTTCTATAAACTTGGAGTGAAAACCACGGGATTCATAAGCTGTAACTCTACCTCGCTATGTGTTCTGCCAACTTGGCTGTGTGATGGGTCTAATGACTGTGGAGATTATTCAGATGAATTAAAGTGCCCAGGTAATTCTAAAAAGAAAAATAGTTCGTGATCTGAAGGTTTGAAAGCTAGATACTTGTAAAAAATGAATTTGTTAATTTTTATTCATAATATTCAGTGATTCAGATTAATATTTACATGATATAGACTAAAAGTAATCATTTTCTTTTAAACTTGCCACTTGATCTTTTTAAATGAATTATAAAATGATACTCAAATATGTCCTAAATTTAGATCATAATTTTTCATATTTAGCTCCTCATTAGTGCTTTTTAAATTTATGATTAAGCCTTCAAAATGTGTAATCTATAAAACTTCAACATCAAAATTACAGACCTTGAAAAAATCTATTCAAATAGTGAAAAGAGGAAGAGACTTCTCATGCAACGCTTTGCTCAATCTTAGCTAAGTTTTTGTGTCACGCTGTTCCAACTGATACAGTTTTGGACTCAATAGTTTAGGTAACAGTTATTGTTATTGTATCAAGATCTATACATTTATATTTGCTTATTAACCTTCTTTACCTACTAAGGGTCTGAAAAGTATCATTGTCCTCATTGTATAATGCCTTTTATAAAAGTGATGATTGCTTGTATTTGAGGGCAATGAAACTAAAATGTCAGAAAACTTGTTCACAGAGAGTTACGAGAAGGGGATATATGCTGGCTGGGGCCCCACTGAACTTGGCTTCCAACTGCAAGTAACTTTTTTCAAGGTATTTTGAGAATTGATATCTGTGGTTATTTGCACATCAGCTTATAGAAGCATGTAATCTTCTAAAAGAGACTGCTGTTAATAATAGTTCATAGTTAATCACTTAGGCAGTAGCAGGTTTTAGTTTTTCGATTGTACAAGGTGCAACCTTCTGTGATATTGACTTTATGTAAGGCCTTCAGTTTTAAGAAGGCTAGCTGCACCTTTTGAGGAAGTGAGGAGATTTGTTTGGAGACCCTTGACTACAGCACATTATAGATATTTGACTCCCTAAAAAATTTACTGTACTTGCCAGATGCTCACACCTTTAATCCAACCACTCAGAAAGCAAAAAAAAAAAAAAAAAAAAAAAAAAAAGGGAGACCCTGTCTCAAAACAAACAAAAACAAAAAAATAATGAAAAATTTGCTATATTTTAATTGTATAACTATTTTTTGAGAAATAGGTGACTTTATTGTTTTTTTATTGAGCTTTTAAATTTCATACATTTCCTACCCACATCCATGCCTTCCCCTATCCCACCACTGAACCCTAATCACTCTGCCATACATGCTAAGTCCTATTCATTCAGGTGTTTGTACCCAAATGTCCTTCAGTGTAAATATGTACACTGGAGTCTAGTCAGCCCATCCAGTTGTTGTATGTAAGTCATACTCTCCCTCAGCCAGCAGCAATCTGTCTCAAATAGTTCTAGTGCTGGCCTGCCACCTCTTTCTCATTGCCCCTTTGGGCCCTTGTTTAAGTGAGCGCACATGGATCCCGTGCTCAACACCACAGTTGTCACAGACTCACATGAGCAAGCCTCCAATGGCCTGGAAGCCTCTATGTCCCTGTGTTCATGAACCAGCCCTGGCTCTTATAATCTTTCCACCTCTTTTTCTGCAATGGTCCCTGAGCCGTGACTGACTGAGGTTCCATATCGGAGTTCCATCCTACACTCTACAGTCTCTTATTCTTCAAAACTTGGCCAGTTGTGGCCTCCTGTGTGTATTGTACTCTTATGTACATGGAAGCCTCCTTGGTGAGAGTTGAAGGGTGCATTAGCCCTCTCTCTACCCCTTATTTCGCTATGTTCCATGAGCCTTAGTTGTAGAGATGCGACTGCAGATGTGTCACCTAGTACTGGGCATCTCCCAGGCATATGTTCTCTGTGCCTGATCAGATGTGCAACTCTGCAGTAGCTTCCATCTGTTACCAAAAGAAACTGCTGTATGGCATGCTTGTCACTCTAAGGGAGGTCCCTTGTATCTTCACTGCATTCCCTTCCAAGCAGCTCCTAGGCATACACATGCAATAATGTTCAGACACTCTGTGTGAATTTCTCATAGGATTTCTAAGGCATTTCTTTTCCCTTTAGGTTTCCTAGCCCCCCGAGATTCATTCATCTCCACTCTTTTCTCCCATCCAGCCTCCCTCTTTATTGTTTTAGCCTCGTGGAGGTAGGTTATCAAGATTATTAATCAAAAGTTCTTTTTTGAAATATTTTATTTATTATTTTTATTTTATGTGTATGAGTATATTGCCTGCATGAGTGTAAGTGTACTCTTGTCACCTGAGGTCAGAAGAAGGCATCAGATCCCCTGTAACTGGAGTTACTGACAATTGATAGCTATCATGTGGGTGCTGGCAATTGAACCCAGGTCCTCTCAAGAGCAGTCAGTGTTCTTAACTGCTGAGCCATCTCTCCAGCCCCATAATCCAAAATTGTTTTTAAGGGAAGGAGAGATGGCTCAGGGGTTAAGAACACAGACTGTTCTTGCAGAAGACCCAGGTTCAGATCCCAGCACCCACATGGCAGCTAAGAACTGTCCATAACTCCAGTTCCAGGGACTCCGACAGTCTCTTTGTCCTCTGCGGGCATTGCACGACACAGGTGCACTTACCTACATGCAAGCATAACACTCATGCACATAAAATTAAAATAATAAATAAAATATTTACAAAATATTTAAAATTCTTTGTACAGCAAAACATTGTTCTTCATTGCAGCTATAGCAGATTTTTGAAATTATCTTGAAGACAGCATTTAATTGATAATCACAAATTAGCATTCTTTCCAATTTTTGTTACCTATCTCTTCAGGATTAATACATTGCTTTAAAAGTTCTCTTTCAACACTAAAAATGCATTGCAGTTTTTATGCTGGGTAAGTACAGGATGATCACGCAGGCTAGGGAAGATGACAGGCAGGTTGGGAGCAGCAGCAGGTGGGAATGTGCAGGTCAGGTGATATAGAAGCATCCCAACAGACAGAAAATGTAGGAGACTTTTGGTTTCATGATGAGTTCACTCAAAAATGTGCTAGGCCGGGAGTGGTGGCTCACACATTTAAGCCCAGTACTTGGGAGGCAGAGGTAGGTGGATCTTTGTGAGTTCGAGGCCAGCCTGGTCTACATAGTGAGTTCCAGGACAGGACAGCTGGGGCTACAAGGAGACCCTGTCTCAAAAAGACAAAAAAGAAAATGTGTTTACAGAAACAAAACAGGGATAATTTCTATTTTAAAATACTAATGATGGGTCACTTCAGTGTGATTGGGAGGCTGTAGGTCTCACTTATTAGATGACTATGGTGTGGGCATGACCAAAGCTATGCAAACACAAAGGCATAAGGGAACAACAGATGGGCTCCAGTCAAGAGAAAAATCTACTATTATATATAATAATAGTAGAATATTATATATAATATTACGATAAAAAAAACTTATAATTTAAAAAATGACCTTACATACTACTTTTATTCCTGTGGCATTTTGTAAGGTGTAATAAATTTGTATCTTAAATTTAATTCATTATTTATGTATGGTCTGAAGATTGAACTGATGGCCTGAATTGTCTAGCACATGCTGTGCCCCTCACCTGCACCTCAACACTGCAGAGATTTAGACATTCGACTTTATCTCTTTTTCTTTATTAAAATAGAGTCTGTCTAATTTACTTTTTGTTATGAACACACAGTCAACATTTCCTATGCACATATGCTTTGACTATATATTCTCTCACTCTTGAGTAATTTCAGTTTTCATTGTTTCAGCTTTTTGCTATCTGTTCTTCACCCCAAATAGATTCGGCTAAGTCTCTCATCCACTACCTCTTTCTGTTCCAGAACCAGTCCTGAACTGGGCTTTTCGGTCTAAGGTGTCCCCTGTGATTGGCGATGCTTTGTTATTCTTTCTTTGGTCATCAGACTCTGACATCCCTCAGGGCAGCATTTAAGCTGTTTTGTATTCGCTTGTTTGTCTCTTCTGACTCAAGCAGTATTAATGTTGTATCTCCATCTATTGCAGAAACTTCAGATTAATTTAAAATAGTTAACTTTGCACTCCATGTTTTATCACAGTTCAAAACAAACACAAATGTGAAGAAAATTATTTTGGTTGCCCAAGTGGAAGGTGCATTTTGAATACGTGGCTCTGCGATGGTCAGAAGGACTGTGAGGATGGACGAGACGAGCTTCACTGTGGTGAGACTCCTTGTTCCACCTCAATCTGTAAATTACCCATGGTGATGTTCCATGCTGGTGCTGCCTTCACAGGGATTTACACAAATATTGTTATTCACTTTAAAGTCATTCTAAAGTAAATAGTAGCAAATATAACAAAGAATAGCAATCCATTCGCCTAGAATTTCCTTGTACTTTATCCCTGAGGGGTTATCTACATTAATTAAAATGATAAATGTTCATTTTTTATTTATTTCAGGTAGAATATATATTTACTGTTATAAAAACTTAAGATTTGACACAGATAATCTGTAAAATTCTTCCTTCATGCTCTTGTAAATTATGTTGTTTTAAATTTTGTATTAATTGTATGTATAGTTTTACATAATACTCTCAAGCCTCTACTTTTCTGAATACTTGTCCTATACCCTCTACTTTGTCATCTCTCTATCTGAATACTTCATTCCACATTGTAAAGAGCAGAAAAATTTAAAATTTATTTTATAAAATTTAGTATTTTGTTCTTTATCATAATAGAA